GAGAGAGAGAGAGAGAGAGAGAGAGAGAGAGAGAGAGAGAGAGAGAGAGAGAGAGAGAGAGAGAGAGAAGCAGACAGAATCGCCGAGAGGCAGAGAGAAAGGAGGTCGAGCGGAATAGAGGAGAGACAGAAAGAGAGAGGGTGATGAGCGGATGACAGCACGGACCGCCCTCCCCCTCGCCTCCACCTTCGCTCACCCTCGGCTGCCGCAGCGTAGCTGCGGCGGGTCCTCTTGTATCCCTAAAAGTTGGGGTATTTCAACCATGCTTGCCCCGGACATCCAAACATCCAGACGTGGACGGTTTGGTTGGATGTCTGGATGTCCGGATGCATTCAACGAAAAAAAAAAAACCTGCTACACACACACATCAAAGCACACAACTGCTACACACACACACACACACACATCAAAGCACACAACTGCTGCAGCACAGCAGCAGGAATAGCGGCTGCAACAACTGCAGCACTTGTTGCAGCTGCTGTTCCAACTACGGTGGATACAGCAGGTGCAGCTGCAGATGCAACTGCTGTTGCCGCAGCAGATGCAACCGCTGTTGCAGTTGCAGATGCAACCGCCCTGTGCTGATTCGGGCACTTCAGAGCTCGTCCAGTTAGGCCCCGGATTAAAAAAAAAATGTCACTAACAATTTTGCGGAGGCACCCAGGCCCTCGAAAACGGCCCAGGCACCCCCATTTTCTTTTTTGATTTTTTTTGGGAATTGGGTCCATCCGGACCTACCGGGCCTGACACCAGACCTGGACATCCAGACACGGACTGTCTGGATGGGGATCCGGTTGGCAACCATGATTTCAACAGATACCCCTAAAACACAGGGGTACGAGGAAATTCCTCAAACTTCTGTTTTTGCCCCTGTCCTGCCCATGGGCAACTTTGCCATATGTCCTTGGCCATGGTGGAGCTGCAGAGGCAGACACACTACTTTTGCCATCTGCCCCTCTACCAGGCAGGCATCTTTTCTGCCTGCCCCACATCCAGCTTGGGGCCATTGGGGGAAGGCGGTAAGGGCGGGTGGGGTGGGAAGAGAGAGAGAGAGAGAGAGAGAGAGAGAGAGAGAGAGAGAGAGAGAGAGAGAGAGAGAGAGAGAGAGAGAGCGTCTGACCCCGAGCACGACGCACCCCCACTATGGCTGTACCCGCCCGCCAAGCTCGGTTGCATATATCCGCCGATATCAGGGTGCGTTGTGTTCGGGGGGAGGACAGTAGCACGCTGCCGGGCGGCTGCCCTGAACGCAACACACCCTGATAACAAACATATACAAACGATCTTTCCGGTGCAGTACAGCCATAATGAGGGTATGTTGTGTTCGGGGGAAGATGCCCTCTGTCTCTCTCTCTCCCTCTCTCCCCCACTACCGTCTCCGCTGAACACAACACACCCTCATTATGGATGTACCAGACCAGAAAGATCGCTTGTATACATTCCTTATCAGGGAAAGGTGTAGAGATGGAGGTGCGGGGACGGAGATGGAAAATTCAGGGAAGGTGTAGAGATGGAGATGGGAGGACGGGAAAGGAGTAAAGATTTTTTGCCAAGGGTCCAACGGCGAGAAAGGCCGGGCCATACAGACAATTTGCACAAGGCCCAGTTGGGGTATGTACACAAGATGGCAGGTCAAATTGGCGGGTGGGGTATGTCACACAGTATCATGGCTGTCATAGAGGCATTTCGCCATACCCATGCCTTTTAAGGGTATCTGGCAAAATACCCCAGCTTTCAGGGGCATTTCAACAGTTTTCCATAAAAAAATTACCTTTTCAATTTTATCTGTTATTCTAAATTTGGTAAAGAATTTCAATGTGAGCCTGAGGCAAACGTTGTTCAGTAACTTCAGTTTATTTTTCTGCATAACATAGTTTTATTTTTAAGCTTTCCCGTATTTCTTGGATTTCCTTTTTTTTTGCAGTGACCTTCCCCGGCCCTTGCCCGGCCGGGTTGGCCCTGGCAACCAAGGTGACCGGGCGGCCCTGTTGGTAGCCCAGTCTGACACACCGTTTTTCGTTTCTGTTTCGTTTTCTCACCCAACGGACAAACCACTGAAATTGCAAGGTTGAAATGAAATCGCACCACCTCAGAAGCTGGGCATCTTACATCAAACGTCCCACAGGTTTCCAACTTGCCATCGGACAGTCTCCCGGAAGAGCCGGAACGGTCCCCGGTGAGCTTGACGTGTCTGCTCCTACTAGCACCTCAAGCTGCTGCGCGGGATGTTTTCCCAAAAAAATACGAGCAGGAACGGAAGTATGTGGCGGTCATTCAGGTGGGTGAAAGTTGGCTGTGAGAGCAAACGATGGCCACCCAGATTCACATCGCACGGCTGCGGTTGCACAAGAATTGCCAACCCGGGGGTAAGAGGGTCGTCCACGGCCGGTAGGCTATACAACAATTGCTTGGTGTTTCTGTTTTGAAGGATGGGGAAGAGGAGGGTGGGGGAGGGGGGGAAGGGAGGTGGGGATTAAATTCGGCACCATTTTTTGATGTGTGTGTGCCATCTTTTCACAGCCGCCATGCTAATAATGTTCTCTGCATCATCCGGTGGACGCCCCGATTTCACCTTTTGAAAAAGGATAACATGAAGGGAAGGAGGACAAAAAAAAAGAATGACAGAGCGAATTGTGAGGTCCCCAGCCTCAAACACCATTTTCCATATAACCATTAAAAAAGAAAAAACGAAAAAAACAAGGCTATTGCCTTCGTTGGTTAAGAAAAAAAAGAAAAAGAAAAAACAGACAGAGCAAGCTGCAAGAGAAACAGAAACCACAGAAAGGGCTTCCTGAGATAAGTAGCAGCACTTATCACAGACATCCTGTGAGATACATCAACTTATGATAGAAATCAATGTTCACTGTTCACTGGGGATATTACACACCATGCCTTCATCCTATACATCAGCAAATTGCGCGTAGTAGATTTGAGAGCTTGCAGCAAGTACGAAGTGGTACATAAAAGAGAGTTCAATCACTCAATCTGCAGTGTACATTCACTATGCATTACAGAATAGGCACTGCAGGCATTACAGGGCAGCGTTGCAGCTATGGGCTTTTCTCCATCACAGAACAGGCACACAGAAAATGGCATCCACAAGTCCTTGCACATTCCAAACTTACCGGCAGGTTCAGGCAGGGTCATGCCCTGTCGCAAGCCGTCCATCCCCGCAGCCACCATGACAGCAAGTGCAAGGTAAGGATTGGAACAACCATCAATCGCCCTGAGCTCAAAATTGTTTGCTATAGCGGGGCCTGACGAAAATGGACTCACCACCCTCAGTGTTGCGTCACGGTGCTCGATGCCCCAGCAATGGAACGCACAGCTAAAGTTCCCAGGAATTAAGCGTTCAAAACTGCAAACACGGTGTCAATCACCAGGACAGAGCACCCAATCGACAAGAGTTGGGGTTACTAAAATAACAGTGAGGCATGTCACAACGGTTGCTTGCATTGATGGCATGCCCAATGTTCTCCATTTTGATTCATTCTTTCCTTGCGCTTGCATTGTTTGGGCCCATTTCACCAAACAGGTCACATACTTTTTCACTGTTGTTTTCACTGTTTTCACTGTTTTCACTGTTTTCACTGTTTTCTCCTGACGTGAGGCTACGGCATCACTTCACTGGCTAGCCTGTCAGCACTGGTCCGACCTATGGTAGGCAATTGTGATCCACTCACATGTGCTTGTATTCTAAAACAAAATGAAGAAACAACATCCTCACACTAGGACTTTCCAGACTGAATTTCGCAGCAACTGTTGCCCAATACATTTAGGAAAGTGCAAGTTTGAGTATGTATAGCCACATACATTCACATTGTTGTCTTCACCCGAATACAATATGCAGCCATTATTGCTGCATCTAGACTCAAAGTTGCCCCAAGTACAGGTATAATGACCCTACGCTGTGTTCGGGAGAAGACGGTTGGTATGATCCGCTCCCAAGGTTACGTCGCTTCCTTGGCTACGTACTTCACAAATGGGATGGGCATAGTTTTTTGTACTTTCCTTTCCAGGGGATAATTAAACCCTCAGCCTGTCCTTTATTCCATGAATGAAAGAGCCAAAACAATGAGAAGTGGCACTGTTACATCTTCGACGCACACGGGCCCTACCGGACCCGACGTAGGGTCGGAGGGACACATCAGGGCCTAAAGGCCCGACCTTGGGATAGTACAGGCCCTCAGGGCCTGATCTTGGACCAGTACCCAACGGGCAGGCCCAAACGGCATTATCGTTTGGGCCTGGCGGCGCTCTTGAGGCTGCCGCCCGCCGGTTGGGGCTGCATGGCATGGCCAGGCCTCACAGCATTGAGGCCGGCCTCTGCCCCACTGGTATAAAGTACCGGTACAGCCTCACTTGGAGGCATCGACCTACCGGGACTATACCGGTACGGTATGGTCAGCGCCAGAGCGCTGTTTTGATGCGCTAAGTTTAGCGCAGGAGCGAGCAAGGAGCAGCAGCGGTAGCGCAGCAGCAAGCGGAGCAGCAGCAGGGCGACTGAGCCAGCACGGCGGCCATTGCCGTCTGAGGTACCTGGGAGCCGGAGGACCTCTCCTCCCTCCCTCGTCAGCTCTGTCTCTCTCTCTCTCCTCCTCCTTCTTCTTCTTCTTCTTCTTCTTCTTCTTCTTCTTCTTCTTCTTCA